CTAGAGGCAATGTTGTCAAACTTGTGAGTCCAAGTAAACTCGGATGATGAGCTCGAATTATAAACTCGTAAAAATTTACTTTTATCAATAAATAGCTACTAAAAGTATATGATTAAATAATTAAAATATAAAAATGATAATAATTTATTTAAATATATTACAAATCTAAATAATTGAAATTAAATCTATTAGTATTCATAGATACTCAACAAAAAATTTCTATAAAATTTTTAAGTTTATATATAAGTCACTAATCATAATCAAATCCAAAAAATTAGCACTGATTTAAGAGTGAGTTGATATAGTTTTGTAAGAAATGTAAAAACGGTAAACTTGATAAGTAAACTTGTAAGTTTAACTAAGTTTGTAACTTATATGAGTTTAAGAGCGAGTCGACACGATTTTATAAGATAAAAATATTATAACGTTAAATTGAAAAAGTTAATTGACGAGTTTGGCAATAAGAACAGGAGGTAGTAATTATTTGGTGATAAAAAATAGCAAGGAAGTAAGAACTTAAAAAACAAGAGTGTTGATCCCTTTATTTAATTTCAATGAGCAGAAAAATATTTTCCCCAAAGAAATACCAAAAAATATGGTCCAGCATTAACTAATTAAAACGACCATACAAATGAAAGCAATATTATGATATGCAACTTACCGGTTGAATTATAGTTGATAGTGATTTGATTGACAATGAAACACTTTGTTTTGGCCAACATGATGAAACTTTAGAAGTCATGTCTCTTTCCTTATCATACAGGGCATTAAGTTGAGAACGTGAACGCCTTCCTTGAATTAATTATACTGTGAACAACAATAATCTCACCTCTCTGTTTACTGAAATCAGTCTTATAAAAGTATCTGTGAAAATACTTATATATTATCCATATATTAACTACGTTAATTTATTTTATATTGACGCCGAGATTCAAATCAATAATATTGTTTTGTAGAATAAAGTTGTTGGGTTATTGTTGCTTAAATAATTCATTGGAATTTATCAACAAGTTATTGGTTAAGACAGTAAGCAGTGTTTCTCCTATAAAAAGGAGAACATGAGTTCAAAACTTAAAAAACGTATTTATTGAGAAGGTTTTAATCTTAGTATTCCCGGATAGAGATTAATTTCAAGTTTCAAAAAGACTCAAGCATATGAGTTACAAAAAAAAAAAAAGATTGGGATTTTAAAAGTTTGAATTTCATACTTTTGTGTATGCATCGATCTTGTTTTGTTTTTGTTAAATCAAAATCAAGTACTACCTCTGATTCTTAATATAACAATTAGTAAATTAATTTGAATAGATTAATAAAGCTTGTTAAGTTAGTTATTTGAAATAAATTGGTGTTGTCTTTCTTAATTAAAATACTCTTACTAATCATATATATTAGCTATGACTACTATTTGATTCAATTTTGAACATGTGCAACTACTATAAAGATTATTTTAAAATAAATAAATAAATATCAGAGATAAAATAGTTTTTATGTTAAGGACATGGGGTAATATTATATTATAAACAATAAAAAGCTTAAAGTGGAAGGTCAACCGTCAAAGCTCGAAAACCTTTGCCTTCAATACTTTAATTTGAAGAGAATAGTCTTTACTGTTGATAAAATTACCATCTCGGATACTTAATATAAGAACTAGTTAATTAATTTTAATAGATTCAGAAAATTAGTTAAATTAATTTTTTTGCTAATCAAGTGTCATTTAATGAAACTTTTAATATGTGCAACTACTATAATGACTATCTTAAAAGAAAGATAAATATAAAAGACAGATTGGACTGAGATCTTATATTTAAGATCAAATTAAAAGTTAAAAAAACTTGTATATTAAGAAATAGAATAAGTATATTGCTTGTAGCTCACAAAAAGTAAAATTCTGATCAATACAGGCTTTATTATCACTCAAAAAACGTCATCATAGATATTATCTAATGCTAGATTTTCATACTGACAACGTAATTCCAATTTAAACATTTAAAGAAATACTCAGGTTAATTAGGATTGATGGTTAGTGAAATAATGTTGCTATTCTAGAAAGGCTTGAACTGATTTAGAAATTTAGAAATCATCAAATATATATACACACACCTACCACTGGCACTTTAATTTTAAATATAAGTCATTTGTAAGGAAAGTTTTAGTCCTAAATATAAATAATTTATGGTATATTTCATGCTTATTTTCTAACTTTATCTTTATTAATTCTTACAAAAAAGAGAGAGAAGGAAAGGAGAGATATGAGAATGATCTGTAAAAATATATAGAAAGAAAAAACTTTAATACAAATAAAATTAAAATTTTTTGGTTAATTTAATACATTATTTACAATGCAAAAAGACTAGTCCTTGTTATAAGTCATCTCTAACATGTTTCACAAACATCAAAGAAAACTTTAAACTTTATTAACTCTTATTTAAAATTCAATAATTTTTCAACTTTATCCCTATTTAATATACATTATATCTCATGTAAACAAAAATAACACAATAATAAATGAAAAGTAAAATTATATATCTATATAAAAAATTTCTCTCAATATCTTATAAACATATCTAAAAAATGTTTTTTTTTTCTCCACCGTGTAAATAAGAGCAGGGGAGTATATTACTAAGAGTGGTGTATATCGTACTCTTCGACAGTACTTCCTCTATTTATTCTCTTCCGCCCTGATGTGCCTCAACTTCTATTTGCTCATTTATATTCTCCCTCCCATTTTTAAAAGGTGTTTAGATAATATCAAAATCATGATTTCAGAAATGCTTTTACGGTATACGAAACACCCCTTTAGATTGTTTCGATTTGCGGAAAAATACTTCTGAAAAGTGATTTTAAAGGCATCCAAACACCCTTTTAGTCTTTGCTCCTACTTTCTCAACAATCAGCCAGCTAGGCACTCCCAGTTTCACTGTGCACACCAAATGTTTGTTGGCAAGACCACTCAAGGATCTTTTGGAATAGAAAAAGGGGCGATAAGCGAGATGTTACTTGATTTTAGGAGAATTTAATCCTCTACGCTTACAAATGAAACATGCATTTCTACGTAATCCTTCTTGATCTATACTCCTCAAATCTTATTATTTAATATGTTTCATACAGACCAACAAAAACTTTAAAAGCTACATTGACTCTTTTTTTAAAATACAACAATTTTTTAATTTGATCCCTGTTTGATATATATACTTTTAAAACAAAAAACTATCTACACTATAATAATCAGTGGACAAAATAATTTATTCATGCAAAAAATTTAATGATATAAGTTATGACTATGATAAAAAAATATTTTTTCTCTGTTTTATAAATAAGACCAGAAAAGTATATATATAATATGTGCGGGGGTGATTGTATAAGACACCCAAGCACATACCACAAACTAGGAATGAATTATGGATAATTGTTTTCTCGAAATAACTATGATCTTAGAGGCACAATCATTGCAAACTTCATTGCTCAACATCTTAGCCCACAAAATCTAATCTCATCAAAACCATATAACGGTGCTTCCATCATGAAAGATATTTTTAATTGAGCATCCTATCAATAATTAGCCTAATATTAGGGAGATTAAGACTTATATATATATATATGAATCACTTTATTTCTTATTTACCAGGTTGGTAAAAAAATCTATTTCCATCTGCTTTAAAAGAATTTATCATTAACTGATGTGATTAAATAAAGGCATACATAGATCAATTTAACCATAACCATAATTCAATTTGAACTAAATTAACAATGGTAACCTTTTTAGGATAAATTAGCAGCAAGAATATTATTCAAATAAAATAAAATTCTCCTTCGATTCTAAATGTAAGACTTATTTTGTAGTGTGATTTATATTATAAAATGAGCCTTGCGTTTAAAACTGAAAGGATAATTATTTATTGAGTTAATGTGCAAATCTATTTATAAATTATTCTCTCATGCCCATATGATACCACAAAGTTTTTTTTAGGTGAAATAGTACACATGAATGTTACCAAATAGGGCAAAAATGTCATTAAATCTAACATATACTAGGCCTAGTTGATTAATTTGAAAATATTTAAAAAATTAGTTAAGTTAGTTATTTATAATAAATAAGTGTTGTATGTTCTAAAATACTCTTACTAATCACGTGTATTAGCTAAAACTACTATTTGATGAGACTTTTAATGTACAACTACTATAAAGACTATTTTGAAAAAAAAAAAGATAAATAAAAAGATAAAGTGAATTGAGATTTTATATTTAAAATTAAATTAAAAGTCAAATAAATTTTTATATTAAAACCCAGAGCTAGTACTCCTTCGGTCTTAAATATAAAACCTATTCCGTAGTACTATAAAATAAGTCTTCTATTTAAAATAAGAGGAATATTATTTTAGCTTGACAGAATCCACTTAGGGTTTAGGTATCATAAAATAATGAATGTTATGATGTCATATATATGAGAATATTTTATGAGCAGAATTATGCGTGAGCCTGACCTTAGATTACAGGCCCAAACAAAAAATATAGCGTTGGATAGATTAATTAATGTAGGAAATAAAAGGGAATAATTATCCGGTTGCCCCACCCGACCTAGCGATCCAACTTCAATAATTAGATTCCTTTTCCTTTGATTTCGGATACGCGTAAACGTGACTACAGTCTACAGAGAAACCCGGCCCCACAGATCAAACTGCAAGGGCAATATCGTCTTTTCATCTCAACCGCCCGGAAACTTGCGCGCCAATGTCCCCTCACCCTCTTTTCACTTATGAAGAGAAAAAGAATAACAATATATTTTCCTCATCTGAGAAGGCAAATCAGAACCGAAAAAGTCAGAATTTTTCTAAAAATTTTAAAGAAATATGGTAATTAGAGTGATGCTGATTCCACAGTTTGATTAGTTAACACAGTCCCAAAAAAAAATTGATATGATTTATTTATAAAAAAATATCAATTAATTAATTCCCTTAAATCTATGGCTTCCTCCTCCTTCTTCGCCTTCTTGTCTCTCTCAATCTCTCTCTGCTGCTACTACCTTCAAGGAAAACCCTAACACTCTCACTCCTTACTCTAGCACTGTTCCCTCACTAGGATCTCGTACTTTGATCTCTCTCTGGCATTTAATGGTGACCGTTGGATCTCCGATCATGGCAATGTGAATGCGGTACGGCACTCTCTTTGCTTGATCCTACCTGTGATCGTCACCGGTGATTCTGCGATTTTGTCATTTCATCTTCTGGTGCCAGAGTCCCTGATTCGGTGTGTTTTAACTTCTGGTGACTGTGAGTGTGGTGGCATTTGATTTGCCTTCCCCCCCCCCTTTCTTTCAGTACGATCTTCTGCTTTACTTACTTACTGGTCGCTTTTCTTTCTTTTCTCTGAAGAGCCTTCTTTGTCTTCTTTCTTTTGGGTTCCGATGAATGTTGGCTTTATTCGCAGCTTTGCGTGCTGTTTTTGGTTTGGACTGTATGCGAGTTGGAGCCATCCGGATCCAAGTGACACTGGTACATTTCGTGACTTGCGTTGAATTCTGAAAATAGCTGGTTTCGTTTGAGTAATTGCTTCAACTTTAGAAATGTAAGTTTAATTCTTCTGTTCGCTTTCTCGTTGTGTAATGAACGACTAAGATCATTATATGTTTTCTGCTGTTTTGGCTTCTCGGTCTGATGCTTCTGTTTTACTCGTGAGAGACACATTCCCTGACTGTTTTCACTCCAAAACTCTATATATATATATATATATATATTTCCCATTGCCTTGCATACGTTTACTGTGCTTTCTTCCTCTCGGAAATCTTTTTTATTTGTGGTGCTTGTTTCTTGCGGTTCTGCTCAATCGGTAGAGTTTTCCAAGCTGGTTTACTTGAACTTAATAATATTAATATTTATATTTCTTTATTTTAAAATGTATTTAGTTCCTAAAATGGAAAATATCGACTTTTGGCGTTATTTTCTGTGCCCCTGTGACTTCTTGGGTTTAGATGAAATTATGAAAACAAATAATGTTCTTTTTTTGGGGAAAAAGCTTCATAGTTTCATACCGAAAGTTCGGGGAAAAAAGAAGGAAAAAAAGGCTGTTACTTCCCGCCCTTTTTAATCTCAGGGTACAGCATGCACGTTTATGTTCAATTTTAGTTTTAGTTATTTATTTCTGACTTCCATTGACAATTGCCTTTTCAATTTAGCAATTGAATTGGCGTCTTATGTAACCGACAGAAATTGTTTGCATGGTGAAACAGATCTTATGATCCATTGCAATTGATGCTAGTGAACATGGGGTTGTCAGACTTCCAGTGCGTCCTTATAATTTTATCATCTCTTTTGGCTGCTGCAAAGGCCGAGATTTATGTAGTAACTATTGAAGGTGAACCTGTCATAAGTTACACCGGAGGTCTTGATGGGTTTGAAGCCATTGCTGTGGAATCTGATGAGAAGATTGACACCACAAGGTATTTGCAATCTTTCTTTTTGGGTTTTGAAATTTTTAGAAATAGAGGTACTGCATCTTTTCCATCATTCTTGAAAGGTTGGAAAACTCTACTCTTGGTAACGAATTTATGGACCAACTGGCATTCATTGCTTGTCTGCTTTGGCCTTTTCTTTGTGATTACATATGGCGAACTTGGAGGCAATATATATTGTGCTGTGTTATTTTTCTGATGTGTTTCTTGATCTGTGAGATGTCTATCCTTTTGAGTCTAGTAATTTTCACTGGTGAGGAAAAGTCATCAATATGTTTTCATAATCTCTTGTTTCGTTAGTTATTTGTGTAAGATTTTTTACTTGCTTTTTCCGGGTACAAAGAAGGAAATGCTATAATTATTATCGCAACGAAATATTATCAATTATTTCTGAGTCAAAGCTGTTCTAATCAGTACAAAGATCAGGTATATTCATATTTCTTCTATTTCCATCGACTGGTCTATAGCTAATGCTTGATTACTTTTTTCTTGAGTGAACATGATGTTATTAGTACCATCCCACTCCCCTGCTGTTTGTACAATTTTTCCCCTTAAAATAAATTGTCTTTTGGCTGTTATATGCTCCTCTTATGCACTTTATAAACAAAGAAATGGATATTATAACAAGTGTGCTTGCTCACATTTTATAATATTTTCAACTTCCTCCAGTGAATTGGTAACTTCTTATGCTCATCACCTTGAGAGTAAACATGATATGCTTCTTGGGATGCTGTTTGAACGGGGAACCTACAAGAAACTTTACAGTTATAGTCATCTTATAAATGGGTTTGCTGTTCATATTTCCCCTGAACAGGTGAACTCTTGTAATATTCTTTTACTATTCCATTTTTTACATTTTAAGTATGAGTTGTTTACACGCATTTTTTCAATCTAATCTCATTGCGCTATCCTCTTATATTAGTAGGCAGAAACCCTTAGACGTGCTCCTGGAGTGAAATCTGTAGAGAGAGACTGGAAAGTGAAGAGACTTACAATACATACGCCACAATTTTTGGGGCTTCCAACAGAGGTATGGCCAACAGGAGGTGGCTTTGACAGGGCCGGAGAAGATATTGTGATTGGATTTGTAGACTCTGGAATCTATCCACACCATCCAAGCTTTGCCAGTCGCAACACCGAACCATATGGACCAGTTCCAAGATACCGAGGAAAATGTGAAATTGATCCAGATACAAAGAAGGACTTCTGCAATGGGAAGATTATTGGAGCACAACATTTTGCTCAAGCTGCGATAGCTGCTGGGGCATTTAATCCGTCTATTGACTTTGCTTCTCCCTTAGATGGGGATGGACATGGAAGGTTGGGCCCTGCTTCATTCTTTATTTGCCTATTTACTTGGAAGCATTCAGGACTTCTTTTTGGGTTATATTATATTTATAACTATTCCCTTAATTGATATGAAAGGAAAGTCTCACTTGACTTGATTTTATTCCTAATGGCCTTCTGCCGTTCATTTAGTCTGAACTGGGGAAATTATGTGGTCAGTGGTTTTTTTTTATTGTATGCATCCAAATTACTCGATGCTTTAGTATTCACACTTTTGCTTAAGGCCATATCGTCTAATTTATAGCTTTTAATATTTGTTCTGTACTCCTTGAATCTACGTCTGGCAGTCATACAGCTGCTATTGCAGCTGGAAATAATGGAATTCCTGTGAGGATGAATGGGTATGAATTCGGGAAAGCAAGTGGAATGGCTCCCCGTGCAAGGTGAAGAAGAATAACTTCTAATTGTTCTTTTTTCAACTTATAACTATAGTATCTGTTGCATCAGACACCTGACATGTTTGTGTTCAGGATTGCTGTGTACAAGGCACTGTATAGGCTTTTTGGAGGCTATGTTGCTGATGTAGTTGCTGCAATTGATCAGGTTAATACGTAAATTTTTAATATAAAATTTAAAATTTTATCTTGCAAATTTGTTCCACATTATCATGTTTTATAACTATTGGTTCCTGGTTGCCGGGTTTATCTCAAATTTCTAAATATTAAGCATTGATTGCTCACAGGCTGTGCATGATGGGGTGGATATACTGAGTCTGTCAGTTGGACCAAATAGCCCTCCAGCAACTACTAAGACGACATATTTGAACCCTTTCGATGCTACACTTCTTGGAGCTGTGAAAGCAGGTGTATTTGTTGCGCAGGCTGCTGGAAATGGTGGTCCTTTTCCTAAGACCTTGGTTTCATATAGTCCTTGGATAGCTTCTGTGGCAGCTGCGGTTGATGATCGTAGATATAAGAACCATCTGACCCTTGGAAATGGAAAAATGTTAGCTGGAATTGGGCTGTCACGTGAGTTATCCATTTTAATACTGCATTTACTTGGATATATGCTATAATAGTTGGTGCAATGCTTCTTGAAAATATATTGTTGAAGATTGTGGTGAAAATTATAATCCAGAAAAAGCACTTGGCGTTAACTTTTTTTTTTCTCCCTATATAGTGGGTAAAATATCAAAAGGTGGGCGGGGATAGAAAGCAGAACAGTCTTTTTTTCATTCTTTCGATTTTCTCCCACATGCCCAAAAAGCGCATGTATAACACCGCATTGCACTTATTGTCTGTTATTCTCCCATGCATGCATGATTTGAGTGCCACTAAAGTATATCTAATGGCAATATGCAGCTTCCACACATCCAAATCAAACATACAAATTAGTTGCTGCCAATGATGTGCTGCTAGATTCTTCAGTTATGAAGTACAGCCCCACAGATTGCCAGAAAGCAGAAGTCTTGAGCAAGAAATTGGTGGAGGGGAATATTCTTCTTTGTGGCTATTCTTTCAATTTTGTTTCTGGTACTGCATCAATAAAGAAAGTCTCTGAAACAGCCAAGGCCCTTGGTGCTGTCGGATTTGTTCTTTGTGTGGAAAATGTTTCTCCTGGAACAAAATTTGATCCAGTTCCCGTTGGCATCCCTGGGATTCTTATCACTGATGTCAGCAACACAAAGGTAACTGACTCACCTCATGTAAATGAGATAATTGCCAACTTTTATTTGTACGATCTCATTCATGTATCTCCTGCCACTTACTGAGTTATTGTACTTATCTCACTTTTTCTACTTTTTTGTTGATCCTTTTTAATTTCTGAAGTATACAAAATTCAATCATTCCCTGTTCATCATGTGATTTGTTGCTTGAAATCATTATTGTTCATGTGATTTGTTGCTTGAAATCATTATTGTTCAGGAACTTATAGATTATTATAATACCTCTACACCAAGAGACTGGACAGGGCGCGTGAAGAGTTTCAAAGGTACAGGTAATATAGGGGATGGTTTGGTGCCTACTCTTCATAAATCTGCTCCACAGGTGGCATTGTTCTCTTCTCGGGGGCCAAATATAAAGGACTTCAGCTTCCAAGAGGCAGATCTTCTCAAGCCAGATATATTAGCTCCTGGTTCATTGATTTGGGCTGCTTGGTCTCCCAATGGAACTGATGAACCCAATTATGCAGGCAAGTAACTTGTGATCCGGTTGAGTATTTTATCCCTGTTGTTGGTGGATGAAAACCTTCAATTAAATCTTTGTGGGGAAAAAAGGTAATTTTGGGCTAAACCAAGGGATTGTAACTCAGAATAAGCCCAGAGTATGAGATATCCTCCTGGCAGAGATGAAGAGGATGCATCCCAATGAACCGTTTCATTTATCTTTTTATAACTAAGATTGAGTTTGCCTCTTGTTTCTAAGTTATCATGGAAACCAGGCTCGTATGATTTCTCAGATTTTTAGTAAAACTGGAAAATATGTTAGGAATTCCTAATATTAGTGCGTTTTCTTTGTTTCCTGAGTAGAAGGCTATTGCATAATATCAAGTGTTGGGTGAAAGAGGAAAAAGAAAATATTGAGCTAAAGTGGCTATTTGATCAGGGGATGGATTCGCAATGATTTCTGGAACAAGCATGGCCGCACCGCATATTGCTGGGATAGCTGCTCTTATAAAGCAGAAACATCCTCAATGGAGCCCCGCTGCTATTAAGTCGTCCTTGATGACAACATCATCCATTCTAGACAGAGCAGGAAGGCCTCTTCTAGCACAGCAGAGTTCCGACACACAAGCTTTTAAGCTGGTCACGGCTACTCCTTTTGATTATGGGAGTGGACATGTTAATCCAAGAGCTGCCTTGGACCCTGGGCTCATATTTGATGCAGGTTTATTTTCTTCTTCCATCTTTACGACTATTTTCTTTGTCCGGTTACCTTTATAGATGAATGATTAGATAGCTTGAAAGCATGAATTTCTGGAAGGCAGGAATGAGTATGGAGGATCAGTGGAGCAAAAAAGTTAACACAATGCATGCTAAATAACGGAATTAGATATTAGACATCCACGTAATGCTTGCGAGGGAATCTTACGTGATCTGCAAAGTTCATGAAACAACAGGTTTAGCCATGCCCTAGAACGCTTTCTCAACTGGCTTTCATGGCACAATATTGAGCCATGCAAAAAAAAAAAAAAAACGGCAGAACAGTTCATGATCACGCCATTTGAAATAGAAGTGGTAATTGTTTGTTGAAAGTTATAGAAACAGCAGCACGTAGGATGAAGTCAAAAAATAAATTTTAACGAGTTTATAACGTTAAGATACGGAGCCACTTATCCACTCCCATTTCTGCATTTATTTTTCCATCTACTGAAAATTTGAGTTCCTTTGACAAAAATTTAACATTGAAATAAAAAGGGTAAAGGAGGAAGAGACTAACATTAATTTGCCCTTCGTTTTGTAGGATACGAAGATTACTTGGGGTTCTTGTGCACCACACCCGGCATTGATGTTAACGAGGTAAAGAAGTACACACACACGCCATGCAACAGTAGCATGGGCCAACCATCAAATTTCAATACTCCATCAATTACAGTTGCCCATCTTGTGGGAACACGAACCGTCACTCGCACTGTCACAAATGTCGCCGAGGAAGAAACCTATGTTATCACAGCCAGAATGGGACCAGCCGTTGCCATTGAAGTAAGCCCTCCAGCTATGACTATCAAACCAGGTTCGTCGCGAAAGTTCTCCGTCACGCTTACAGTTCGCTCAGTGACTGGAACCTATAGTTTTGGGGAGATTTTAATGAAAGGTAGCAGAGGGCACAAGGTAAGGATTCCTGTTCTGGCCAGTGGATACCAACGTTAGCTTAGTTTGCTCAGAAGAGGGAAGTGATGCTTGTAATATTCTTTGTAACTTGTTGAAAATAAGGTATGTGGCTAGGTTTATATATAGTCCAAGAGATATATGACATGGAATAGGGTGTAAAGGTAAGCTGGTGTGAGGGGAGATTTCTTGTTTCTTCCACTTCTAAAGTTATGCCAATTGTGTCTTGTGATTTGTTGGAATGCTTGAAGAAAAGGGTTTATTTATGTATCAATCTCTTCCCCACTGCTGCTGCAGGTGCATGAAAGTAAGAATTTGAATCCTCAAATATTTCTCTCTGAAAATTTCGGATAGACGTGTGACCTATACACATTATGCTTAACTTCCCCCCCCCCCCAGAAAACATCAATGGAAATTTACATACAGAATCTACCTTTTAATGAAAATAAAATATCGAAGACCAAACAGATAATTCAACAATATTAATAGATTAAGGGTTAAAGTGAATTTAGTATATCGAAATATTTTTTCAAGTATATCCAGTACTTCTGAAATATTTTGTGGTATATCTAATATTAGAAAGCATTTTTCAGAGGCATTTGGTACCCAAAAATATTTTTTTCCTTGATGCTGGATGCATCAAAAGATATTTTTGAGTGCTAAACATATTAAAAAAAATATTTTAGAGTCCTGAACATCTTAAAATATTTCATGGCGTTGAATCTACTTAAACAAAAAAAAATTTCAGAAGGATACGTTACAAAATATTTTCTAACTCCCGGAAAAATATTTCGGGTGTTGGTTGCATAGATTAATAATCAAGCTCCGGATTAAAATATTATACAAAATTTATAAAATATATCATGGGGACCATTTTGCCCTTCCTGCTCTCTGCTACTGGCACCTACAGGGCTAGTCCTCCCCACCCCTATCCGAGGAGTTGCGCGGGCAGCAATAAGGTACTAGGAGGACCATTTGATTTAGATGAACCCCATCAAAACGGTGCGCTTTGATGTTTCGCTTCCCCCACCTCATGCCGATATATTGGTACGGCTACCTGCTTCTCATGTACGGATGCCACCTATTTAGGTTATGTTTGGATTTCCGTTTGGAGGGATAAAAGCTAGTGAGAAAGTGTAAAACTGAGATTTGGGGTTTTTTGGGATTCAACTGGTTGTTTGGATGGATTAAGATGCCAACTAACTTTTGAGCCAAACTATCGGTGCGTTCTAATGCTCAGATTTGTAACTTTTGGAGCGTTTAGGAAGTTGCCTTCCGACCTTTTCCGAGCTTCTCCCTCTGTTAGCCTCACCCGCCTTCTCAATTTCATCCACCATAGCTAGGAACAAAGGAACCGCAATGGCTCCAAAAGGGATTTCAGTAGAAAAAGAATTAAAATCTTAAACAAACACTAATAAAATCCCAAACTAGAGAACAAATAAATTTTAATTTATATTCATATTTATCAATTATATATGTTTAATTATCTCGGTAACAAATATTTCTATTTTATAATCTCACAAATAAACTATTTTTATTTTATCATAATAATTTTAGGTATTTTTTTAAATATTATCATATTAAAAACATAAAATATCAAATACTACTATTTAATAAAGTTTATGTCCTTTTTAGTCATTTTATAACTAAACTAATTTTTCTATTAATCATCCAAACAACTTTTAACTTTTTCAACTGACTTTTTAAAAGCACTTATTCATACATATCCTAATTGACTTTTACTCTAACTTCAGTTATAAAAATAAGTTGGGTTAGAAGTCAGTTTTGCTCAACGTAAATCCAAACATACCCTTAACTGGTGAAAGAATAATAAAAAAAGAAATAAAAAATAAAATAAAAACAATAAGTCTCTTTTTTTCCCGACAAAAATTAATTACTGTCTTTGAATGGCAGAATAAGTACTTTCATAAAGACGTGGTGAGTCACAAGTGATATGTCTGGTATCTTTATTGGAGGAGTAGAAGTTTAACTACTTTCTTAAATTAAAAGCTGAAAACGTTGTTTTAGTTTTAGTTTTAGGTCACGTTTTCTTCGCCTTTATTTTTGTTTATACCGGCACTCGATAAACGACAACACCACCCTTGATGGTGATATAAACTACTTTAGTGTTTAATATAAAACTTAATTATTAAATTAATTTTAATTCTAAATATAAATTTATTTTTTATATTGGTCAATTTTTTTAAAATTATTCTTATGGATACTCTCTCAGCCATAATCAAGTAGGAGAAAGAAGGAGGATACTAAGAAAAATGATTATGATGTTTTAAGAAAAATATGTCATATTTCTTATAATTAACTAACTTACCTAACTTTCTTAATCTAATCAAATTAGTTAAATAGGTTTTATATTAAGGAATGAGGAGTATATTATTTTCATAATATTGTGAATTTTAAATGATATTTTAAACCAATTTTTTCGTTAACATATTAATAAACATATAGTTTCAAAATTTATTTTTAATCGAAAGGTGATCGATATTATGCATGTGAAAATAATGTCTTTAAAATCACTCGTATCAAAATCATTTTACGTTTAAGTGTTTAAACTTTAAATAGCAGTTAGATGATATTTATGTGAAATAGGGCGTTTTGACCTGAGAAGATTTAAAGGATAATTAGATTTTAGATGGATGGACTTAAAAATAAAAGGGAAGTCTGTATATGTATCCAAAAATTCCAAAAGAAGGAGAGTCTATATATAACATTTAATTTTTAAGGAGATTTAGAGAGGTTTTGAAAATAGAAAAGAGATGTTTATAATTTAAGATAAAATATAGGTACATCCACCATCTAAAAGTATTCAGTGATACATTTCATACCCTCAAATATTTTTTAAGTGCGTCCTACGCTTTAAAATATTTTTTTACCTTGATGCTGGATGCATCTTAGAAGGTTTGCATATTTCACTCTATTTAATATTTTTTAAAAAGAAATTTGGAGATTTAAATTATATTATACTTTAAGAATTTGAGCTGATTATAAAAACAGAGTTCAATTCTCATAGTATTTCTATGTGTATAAAATTTTTAAACAAGCAAAATATGAATGTTATAAAGGTACCCTAAAAAAATATATGTTGTTATTGCAATTCATCCCTCTCTAAATTATTCTTTAAACCTTGTAAAATGATTATACTACTTTTGGTCCTTAATATAAAAATTGGTTGGATTTTTATTTTGATCATAAATATAAAATCTCAATCTATTTTGTTTATTATATTTATCCATTTTTTTAATATAATTCTTGTAATAATAGTAATTCTAGCAATTATATTTAATTAATATGGATATTTTAGGAATAACAATATTTATTTATTACTAATAATTAATTTAACTAATTTTTTTAACTTACTCAAGCTAGCCAACTAACTTTTTTATATTAAGTACGAGGTTTGTATATATGTATGTAACGAGGGATGGCTAGATGAGGGTAATTTTTTTTATTATAAAAAAACTCTAGTCTCTCTCTCTCTAAACTTCTCATTCTTAATCAAATACTCCCTCCGTTCTTTATTATAAGAGACGAATAACTGAATTGTGTTGATAAAAAAACAGTTAAAATTAGTTAAGAACAATCAATGTGTGAAAAGTATAATTTTTTTTTCCAAAAGTGTCCTCATTAATAAGGAGAGAGCATGAGAGAGAACGATTAAATTATTAAAATAGAGAGAAGTGGGAGGGAGAGAGAGTGTGAGTTGGAGGCAATAAATATGAGTAAAATAGAAAATCAACATAAAAAAGTAAAAACAACTTTTAAGTGTCTCTTATATATAGAAATATATTATAAGTATCAAATGTCTTTTATAATAAGGAATGGAGGGAGTATATGATAAATCTTAAACTATGATGATATTTTCAACTTATAATTTCCAAAATTTTCAACTTTTAATTTTAAAAAATTCATTAATGTTAGTCAGCCATGACCCACGTGGCCAAAGGAGGGAAAATCGCACCAATTAAATATGAGAAACCGCCTCTGATCTGTCCCTTTCCTTGACTGTCATCTCCAAAACCAACCCCTGCTAGCCGTTGGAGACTTGGCCTTAAAGCAACCACAGGATACAATGACATAGCAGTCCACAATATATAGGGAAAAAAAAATTATAATGAGGTTCCAAATAAAAAAAATAATTTAAAAACAAGTTCTATAGGTTGTTATTCTTACTGTAAGATTTGTCATTACAAGCGGTTCAGATTGTTATTAGAATTTTTTAATGATTATTTCTTTTCTATAGGACTTAAATGTAATTCTCCCCAATATATATGCTCCGTACATTTCATAAGACATTATTTAAGCTTTCTTACATGAGGCCAATACATATTTAAGCCATTAAGTGTGTTACAAATTGATAAACATTAACTATTTTATCCTTATTAAAGAACATGATTAAAAAATTTTCTGATATCTTTTTCTTACATTCAAAATTCTCTCTTATCCTTTTAAGAAGAGATAAAAGTGGAAAATTGTGATTAATTACCCTGTTAACATTTCATATTTTGAACTAATAATTTCTTTTAAAAGATTTCTTATATTTTGGAATATATATATATATATATATATCACATCCATATAGCAGTTGCTTTCTCCTTTCTCCTTTCTCCTCCCTCTCACTATCTGCGATTCCCTGATCTTCTTCAACATCAGCTCATCTTTCTAATGGTACTCTCTCTCTCTCTCTCTCTCTCTACACTACTGTTCTTATTTCGTGTGTCGAGATGTTAGTGATGACATATATATATTTGTATGCTTACTATAAGATGTTGCAGGCGGTAGAAGGGAAGAAGGTGACGAAAGTGATATTAACGAAGCCAATTTCATTAGAAGTTGATGAAGAAGAAGCTAATGATAGTGGAAATTATAATTATTCAGCTCCCAATCTTCTTCATCGCATTCTCTCTCTCTTCTCCCATGTCCGCCCTGGTTCTGATCTCTCTACCTTTCAGGCATGTTCTTATGATATATATATATATATATATATATATATGTTTCCCATGAAAATATATATACAAGACTTTTCCTTCATCATCGAATTGAGTTGTTTCGAGTCAAAAACTTTAAAGAATATATATTCACTTGTTATTACGAATCAAGAAACTACATATAGGGATTGAATCAAATATGTTTTTGCATAATATAATGCAGCTTCCGGTAACGTTCAACTTCCCAAAGTCACAACTTCAGATTTATGGAGAACAGATTTACTCATCAAAAGAAGACTTGCTAAGTAAGTGCAACAAAGGAGAGAGCCCTTTGGAAAGGCTCATAAATGTGGTGGCTTGGATCATTTCTCTAACTCGTCCTTATCTCTCTGGAGCTGCCCCTTATAATCCAATTCTTGGTGAGACTCACCATGTTTCTCACTCTTCTCTTAACGTTTTACTTGAGCAGGTACCTAAACCTTACCTTCCTCTTTCAAAATATTACATGCGGTCCGTAATATAAGAATTAACTGGAAAAAAAATGAATAAATATAAAGAATAAAGTGGATTGTAAATTTATTTTTAAGATTAAAATAAAAATTAAACGAGTTCACAGAAAGCAGTATAATTAAATAATCTTTTAAGATATATGTGCATATTGCTTTAATATTAATATTATGAGTAAATCACTATAAAGTCTCGATTAGGGGTGAAAGTATGGAGCCTTGTTGCCAATTTTTTGTGCTAAAACTTGTCAAGTCATTGGCTTGTTTTAAAATTTTTTGATAATTACATTATTTTTGTGAGATTATACATTGTAATTTTTCTTTTTTATAGTTTAGAGAGAGAGAGAGAACAGTAAGTACATTTCACATCTTCTTCATAATTGATTACTTCTCGTTATTTGATGGACATGATCTCATTTTCCTCAACTGCCCATTTACTGCATTAAATTTGGACTATCAATGCCAAGCATGGAGTTGGTTTGCTTCAATAATGATTCATCTATGACCACTGCCGCTTCATCTCTAGGCTAGATTCGGTTCCCATGTGGGGCCCATTTTGTGCAGTACAGTGCTCAATCACAATTGACAAAAGTAACTTATTTAGGTTATACCATTTGAAAGAGTCGTGAAGAAATGATCTTACGTTGTATGGATTAAATATAGGAAAAGACAAGAGTTTCGTCTTGTACCACTTCGATTTTTATTATAAGTTATTTACAACTCATTTTTACATATAAAAATAATACATTAAATTGATGGCATTTTTTTAATTTACTCTTATTAAAAGTTTTTTTTCTTTGTATTTACAAATCATTTCCATATTTCTCGTCTCTTTCATTCTCTCTTTTCAGTAAGAATTAAATGAGGGTAAAATTAGAAAATAATCAATAAAAACCCAGACTTATATTCAAGACCAAAAGTTTCCCTTACAAGTAATTTATAATAAAGACCGAAGTGACCGCTGGTAAAGCATAACAACTCGTCTCAAGCCTATCCAAACAGTTTATAAGCACCACACAAGAATAGGCACCCCAAAATATCCAAAACATACCAAACCTTAAGCTTTCAAATTTTATGCACTGCTCAAGACAATAGTGTTATTTATTACTCCTCTTATCCTTAATATAAGACCTATTTAACTAATTTGATTAGATTAAGGAAGTTAGGTAAGTTAGTTAACTATAAGAAATATGACATGCTTTTTCCTAAAACACCATAATCATCTTTCTTAATATCCTCTCTCACTCTTTTATTTGATTATGCTTGAGAGAGATCTATAGAGGTAATTTAGGAAAAATTGATAAATATGAGAAATAAGTCTTATATTTAGAATCAAAATTAACTCAACAATTAGGTTCAATATTAAAGACCGAAGGAGCATTTAGAAAACAGAAGTTTGACTTGAGTATTATTTTATAAGAGAGTATATTTAAGATATATATAAATATATATCTGTGTTATTTTTATTTTTCTTAACATTTTTTCATTTTAAGGTATCACATCACCCTCCAGTATCAGCCCTCCACGCAACTGACGAGAAGGAAAACATGGAAATTATATGGAGCATTCGACCTATCCCCAAGTTCCATGGTATATATAATCTTCCTTCTCTTCTCAATTAACTAACTCTCTCTGATGCCAAAAGAAGCCTTAAAGTTTTAAACTTTGTGGATTGAAAAGAAAAAATCACATCAAAATATTTTCTTCTCCATTAAGATCACCAGCTAGACCAACGCTTTGTTTTTGGACCTGGAAGAAAATATATGTTCCCCTTATTTTTCCTACGAATATTATATTGATCATATATATTCACTATGAGTTATGAATTTCTTATGTAAACAAAAACGCAGGTACGTTAATCGAGGTTCAAGTACAAGGTAAAAGGATGTTGAAGTTGATGAAGCATGGAGAAACTTATGAGTGGAATCCCCCTAATTTCATATACAGATTTCTTCCTATTCCCGGAAGTGAGTGGGTTGGCAACGTTCGTGTAAGTTGCAGAGAGACAGGTTTGGTGGCTGATTTATGTTACAAAGGTCGATCTTTTCTAGGTTTTAAGGGAAACCGCAGATCTGTCAAAGGAAAGATTCTTGGCTCATCCTCTTCCAATAATGTTCTATATGATATTGATGGTCATTGGGACAAGTAAGTTTCTTTTAATTTTCTCTCATAATAATCTCTTGTTTTAGCTTAATTAATACTCCTTGGAGGAAAGAAAGGGACGATAAATGACTTTTCTTTTTTGAAACGAGTCACAAATATTTCACTAAATTTTGTTAGGAATCTTGCACTATTAAAGATGAGGTACGATCTTATAAATAGGATTGAAGAAGGGAGTATATCTGTATCTAACATTAATTACAGTGACCGTATGAATTCTTTAATGCAGAACTGTTGCAATTAAGGATAAAAACAATGGGAGTGTTAAAGTGATATATGATGCAAAACAAGTTATTTCAGGTCTCCAAACTCCTACCCTCAAGAATTTAGAGGTAATTAAAATTTATCTTACATATTTGTTTCTACTTTGCCAACTTGTACACACACACACACACACACAACGGACACGTACATAAGAATTGATGTTAATTATGGTAAGAGGTTGTTTTGTGCGTATCATATATCAGAATGTGTGGGCAACAGAAGCAGCGAGTGTTTGGAGTGAGGTTAGTGAAGCCTTAATGAGGAAAGAGTGGGACAAAGCAAGTGAAGCAAAGAGATGCATTGAAAATGCACAGAGAAAGCTATTGGAAGAAAGGGAATCAAGTGGCCAAAATTGGATGCCCAAACACTTCACTGTTTCAAGAACTGAACAAGGTACTTGGGATTGTTTTCCTCTTCATCAGTGGGTCCCTTCTGGCCCTATTATTGCTTCACAAGACACTTGATTCAAATTGTGTTTGTATCGTCGTTGGAGAGAGTTTGACATTTTATATATGTGCTTTTTATTTGAGACTCAATATATGTGTGTGTGTGTAACCCTCGTAAAAGTCATGGGGTGCCATAATCAAATTCTAAGGTCAAATATGTGGGAAGTCAATAAAAGTTATTCCATTATTTACTTTCTAAATATAAGTTTCTTTTAATTTTATAATTAATTCATATAAAATATAAAAAAAAGTTAAAATGATTATTTGCGGTGGTTAACATATATAAGTACAATCAAATCAAAATTTTCAAATGAATCTTTTATTTGGGAGGGAGTGTGATAATTTTTTTGAGTTCAGGAATGTTCTTTTCTCGTAAAGTTTAATTATTGGAGTTTTAATTAATATGGGGTTGGTATTGATGTTTGATGATAAGCGATGTGTCTCTGTCATGGGCCTTGGATGTTTAATTTGTTTCTTCTTTATCTCTTTGTTTTATTCAATAAAGGGTGGCCAGAAATTAATTACAAACAGAATCAAAATCTACAATATCTCACTTACAAGAAAACTTTCATGTTACTAAATTACAAAGTCAATAACATATCTTAACTATATATTTTGAAAATATTATCTCCAGCCTATTATGTACTAAAGCTTGGAGTGCATTTTTTTCCTCCTAAATTACAAAGTACATTACACGTACTAATAAAAAATCAAATTGAACACTAATTACTCCTCTAGTCCTAAATATAATTCTCATTTGATAGTGTAATTTACAAAATAAAGTAGGTCTTATATTTAGTACAGGAGAAGTATAAGATTCATGTTTTACCAACGGCATTTTATTGAACAGTATGTATATGGATAAACATTTTGGAACACCCCCTCGTTTTCCAAGTCCAGCGTTAATTGGGACACCGAGACATATCAGTCTTCGTCTTTATTTTTAAGGTACAAGCTAGGGGTGTTCAATTTGTCCCGTTTCGGTCGTTCCGTCCCGGTCCCGGTGAGTTCGGGACGGGACGGGATAGGACGGGACGGGACAAAAAAAATTTCGAGACGGGACAAAAACGGGACGGGATAGGACAATAACCAGGATGGGACGGGACACAGGACGGGGTCGTCCCGTCCCGGAATCTTTTTTTCTTTTAAAAATTATTTATTAATAATTATTATTAGATTATTCAATTTACTTATTAATAATAACTCTTATTTTTATGGTGATTTGTAGCTCTTAAGTTGTAGTATTATCTCAACAAAATCTCCTTCCTCAATAAAATAATTCATAAAGTCATTATATAGTTTTTTTTTTTTACGGTATTTTTTTTACACTATTATTTTTACACCTTTTTTATGCTACATAATTAAGCTTTCTACATAATATTTTTTCATAATATTTTTATCTTTAAAAGCCCAATAAAAAATAAGTATTATAACATAAAAAAATTCATATAAAAAATTATGGTATCTTTTTTTTTAAAAAAAAAGGGGGAAGGGGACGTCCCGGTACTGACGGGACCGGAATAGGACCGGACATGGGACAAAATCCCCGTCCCGTCCCATGAACACCCCTAGTATAAGGGATACTTTTAAAGGGTTGCAACTCTTCACTCAATTAGGACATGACGTCTCATACTCGATTACTCAATAATATTACATGCATCCTTCATTAATTTTAGACATGAGGAATCTTTGAGAAGTTTTATATTTAATATATTTTGCAAAATTTTAAAGACAATTAATATAATTTTATTTAAAATGTCCAACTGCACATACCAAAATTAAATTTGCATGTAAATATATGAGAACGAGACTTGAGTAGACTAGAACCTTGAAAAAAAAAAAAACTATATCTATCAATACCTTCCTCGTTCCCAGTATCTTCTTCAGCTGCTCATCATAACTTTCATACGGTAACATTATTCCTCTCTCTCTCTCTCTCTATCACTATGAATATTGTATTGTTGTTACCTTCATTGATATATATGCCCATATTTGAGGGTTCAAATCAATTTTGATTCTTTATTACTTATGCTCTCCATATATAATATGGCCTGGAGGCTGTCTGTTTTAATTTCCGGCCGCCTCATGCGGTGGCTTTAGTTTTAACATCAACTTATACTTCTAATGGTGCCCTCTCTCTATATCTCTCTCTCTACTGTTGTTGAGATGTTAGTGATAACATATATATAGATATATATGCTTATTGTAAGATGTTGCAGGCGGTGGAAGGGAGGAAGGTGAGGAAAGTGAGATTGACAAATTAAAGCCAATTTCATTGGAAGTTGATGAAGAAGAAGCTAATGACAGTGGAAGTTATTATTCAGCTCCCAATCTCCTGCGTCGCATTCTCTCTCTTTTCTCTCATGTCCGCCCTTGTTCTGATCTCTCTACCTTTCAGACATCTTCTCCACTTCACATCCCTCCTGAAATTTTTCTCAGTGATTATTCATTCATCACCTGTTAAAATTTTGACTCAAAAAAATTAAAAGTTTGGCATGTACGTAGTTGTTGGAAAACTTTAAACTGATTTCAATTGAATCGGTAAATGCGTGTTTGGCATGGTTTTAGGAGCAAATTACATTTTACTCAATAGCCATGTTAAAGTGGAAGCAACTTTTTTTTTAAAAAAGAGTTATAGCTTTTTCTTTTTTTTAAATTTAAAAATTTAAAAATTATTTTTTTAATATACCAACCCAGCAAATTTATATGAAATTGAATTTTTTAAAATATAAAAATCTATCACTTCATTTTCGGTTTGTAAAAGAGAGTTAGAATAAAAGTCACTTTTACAAATATCAATGAGTCCCATTGTTAAATTTTTTACATGAATGTACAATTATACCTTTAATTTATTATTCATGGGAACAAGCTATTGAAATATAGAGTGTGTGTGTATCAAATGGGGGATAAATTTAAAAAGTTATTAAATTTTAAAACAGTTTTAATGAGATTTAAGATTTTACTTGACTCCAAAAATTAAAAGTGTCATATAAATAGAAGAATCAGAAGAATAACTTGAGTTGTTATATTTCAGGTCAAAAACTATAAGAGAAAATAATCAAATTTTATGGATAAATACAGCTTCCAGCAATGTTCAACTGGCCAAAGTCATAACTTTCAGTATATGGAGAACAGATTTACTCCACAAAAGTAGACTTAATAAGTAAGTGTAATAAATTAAAGGAGAGAGCCCTTTGGAAAGGTTTATAAATGTGGTGGCTTGGACCATCTCCACCACTCATCCTGCTGTGTTGGAGCTGCCCCTTATAATCCAATTCTTGGTGAGACTCATCATGTCTCTCGCTCTTCTCTTAATGTCTTACTTGAACAGGTACCTAAACCTACCTACCTCTTCATAATTCCTGTTTCTAAATGTATTTTTTAATTTTTAAGGTATTTGTGTGTATAGATCAAGAGGTGCAATTAATACAGACAAATAGTATATATTGAGTACATGATTCAATACTTTGCCTCCTAAAATTTAATAAATATTGCTCTAAATTTTTGGTAAGGTACATTCCCTTCGGTCCTTATTATCAGCACTACCTTTTAGAAGAAATATGGTCCTTATACGTGAGTCATTTGATGGGATATTAATTATTTTTTTCAATATATCATCACCTTTATTTAAACTCATTAACTATGAAAAAATGTAATATAAATATAAATTTTTGTTCATACAGATAGGGGCAAAATTAGACATTTATTTCATTTGCAGTCAAAGTTACTCTCTCTCTCTCTAGTTCTTATTATAGGAGATATTTCAAAAGAAATTTTATTTTGGTCCTTTGTATAAAAACCTTCAATAGTTTCAATAAGTATTAAATATTTTTTATATATGCCCATACTTAATAAGAGCAGTGAGAGAATAAAAATCAATATAATGTTGAAATTTAATGGAGTTAATTAAGGCAATATTGAAAAACTTAAATTTTATGATAAATTTAATACTTTTAACTATTTTTATTGGTATTTGTTTTAGGGACGCCTTATAACTGGAGCCAGATAAATATAAGGGGCAAAAATTTTCCTCCAAAAAAGTTTTCATTTTGATTTAACATTTAGGCCTTCTTTATTATTAATTGTTTCCTTTTTATTTCGTGGATAGAATCTCTTTTTTTTTTGGGAGGAAAATGAGCACAACTCTTTGACAATTAGTTGTGTCAATAAAAACTTCATCAAAATACCTCCAAAGTCACCACCTTTAGATGGTCAAACTTGGAAGGATATTTATTTCTTTTTATCTTGTTTCAAGGAATGTAATTCTAGAGTAGTTTTTATTTCTTCATTTTTAAATTTCACTCAGGATAACTGCTGTTTTTGTGGTGTTTTTTGGTTTTGAGTCTCATTTAACTCAACTGTCCTTCTCTGCATTAAATTGTAGTACTCATGTGAGGACCACCATGTGTGCGCGCGCGTGAGGCAGCAGGTAGTTGGTTTGCTATTAATTAATGGTTCATCTCACCCCATCTCTCAAGCCTTGATTCGGATCCCTGCGGTTCTTATTTATCAGATATATATATATATATATATATATATATTTTATATTTATAATATATTTATTTTTATCCAATTGCAAACGCATAAAAATAGTCACCACAAACAAAGTATCCAAACCCTAAACATCAAACTACCCACACAGATCACACAATTCATGAGTTTGACCCCAACGTCGATCAAGACGACACGTATTATATTGTTTTTATGAGGTATATTTTAACATCTCTCTGTTTTTTCTTTTTTAATTTTAAGGTATCACATCACCCTCCAGTGTCAGCCCTCCATGCAACCGACGAGAAGGAAAACGTAGAAATTTTATGGTGCCAACGACCTCTCCCAAAGTTCCATGGCATATATATCTTCTTTCTCTTCTCAATAACATTATATATATATATATATATATATATAAACAAAACTTATAAACTAACCGTATCTGATGTCAAAATTCATAACAATCATGGTTGGGTTGATCTTTCGTGAGTCCCATATCGATAGGTTTGCCTTGAATAAGAAGCCTTATAAGGTCTTGGACTCGCTGCCCCCGCCTATACAATTAGTTTTTGGGGTGTGATTCTCCCGAGGGTAAGTGTTCTGCCGAGTGAAATACTTGTGGTCCCATTGGAATGTCACCCCCTGAATGCTAGGTAAAAGGGCGCTGAAGTTGATGAATCATGCAGAAACTTATGAGATGAATTGCCCTAATTTCATATTCAGATTTCTTCCTATTCCTGGGTTTGATTGGGTTGGCAACGTTCGTATACAATGCAAAGAGACGGGTTTAGTGGCTGCTTTATGTTTCAAAGGTCGATCTTTTCTAGGTTTTAAGGGAAGCCACAGATCTATCAAAGGAAAGATTCTTGACTCATCCTCTTCCAATGTTCTATATGATGTTGATAGTCATTGGGACAGGTAACTTTCATTTAGCCCTTTTAATAATACTACCTTCAGTTCTAAATATAAGAGCTAGTTAACTAATTTGAGTAGATTAAGAAAACAAGTTAAGTTAGTTATTTGTAATAAATATGTATTGTCTTTCTTAAAATATCCTTACTAATCAAGTTTGTTAGTTAGAACTATCATCATTAGAAGAACTATCTTTAAAAAAATAAATAAATATGAGAGACAAAATAGATTGTGATCCTATATTTAGGATCAAAATAAAAGTCAAACGAAGTCTTATTTTAAGGACCGACAATAGTACCGTGTTAATTACTTTCACGAGATTAAGAAACTTAATTAAAATTAGTTAAATCTAAAAAAATTCATAACTTTCAAAAATTACCCTTTGATTAGTATATTTGTCCATTTGGAGGAGAGAGGAGGATGAACAATCCTTGTACACGATAAGGTTGAGAAATACAGTGACAATTCTTTGAAATGAGTCACAAATACTACCTCTGGTTCTAATTATATGACCTTGTTTGTAGTTCAAGTTCTACAAACGAGGTTTTATAATTAGGATCGGAGGTAGTATTTTAATATACTATGCAAGGAATATTGTATTAAGGATAAATATGCTCTTATAAATAGGAGTATATGGAGTATATCTATATATCAATCTAACATTATAGTGACCATAAGAATTCCTTTCTATTATTGTAGAGGTGTTGCGATTAAGGATAAAACTAATGGGAGTGTTAGAGTGATATATGATGCAAAACAAGTCATTTCTGGGCTCCAAACTCCTACCATCAAGAACTTAGAGGTCATGCCATTTCTATTGTATATTTCTTTCTTCTTTGCGACGTTGTATTCTCCTATAATGTATGTGATATATATATATATATATATCAGACAGATGATTGGAATATTAATGTTAATTATTGTGAGTTTGATGAGTAAGAGGTTATTTTGTTGTGTATCAGAATGTGTGGGCAACAGAATCAGCGAGTGTACGGAGCGAGGTTAGTGAAGCCCTAATGAGAAGAGAGTGGAACAGAGCAAACGAAGCAAAGAGACGCGTTGAGAACACACAGAGAAAACTCTTTAAAGAAAGGGAATCGAATGGCCAAATTGGAAGCCCAGACACTCCACTGTTTCTAGAACTGAACAAGATGCTTGGGACTGCTTTCCTCTTTAGTTTGTATCGTCTTTGGAAGGAGTTTGACATTTTATTATGTGATTTTTATTTGGGAGTCACTATATGTGAACAACTTAAAAGTTTTTTTTTTTTCGGGGAACCTGAAAAAGAGTTTTCATTATAAAGAAAGAACCTACGGACACCAAAGTAGCAACAGGATTCAACAAAAAGGCTAAACAACAATTATGCTAGGACACACAAACAAACAAACAAACCAGAGAAAATAGGGACGCAGGAACAGAGCCTAAGACCCAACGATTGAAAAGGGCAATGGCCAATTTTTGTCAACTTTGATTGGAGAAGTGGTGATAGAGACTGGTAGTCTAAGGACTAATTTCAAAGAAGCCCACAATCTTTAGTGCCAAAACTGCAACATAGGCAGCTCTAAACACTCCTGCAGTCACAGGGGGAAAAGAAAACAAAGGAAAGTTAATAATAACTTCTGATAAAAAGCAAATCATCACAGATGTAAACCAGTCATCACTAGAGACAAAATGAATCCAAGGGACAAGAAAATTGCCGAAACGCAACAAGCTACAAAGATAAACCCTAAAACAGAGCAGGGGCAAACAAGACACTAGAAAACGCTGCCGGAGAGCCCCCAAACTCTGACACTTCCAAGTAAACGGACTCATGTTTTCGTGGGTGGCTGCAAACCAGCCAACACGATTTTTTTCCAGCAGCTTCTAGAGGACCTCCTAAGTTACGACTTGCAATGATTTGCAGTGAGGGCCCTAGCATCGTTTTCACAGTAGGTCCCTTTCCGGCCAACAAAAGCTTCAGAAGAAAGCCCCGAATCTTTGGGTCCTTCGGATGAGTAAGGAACACGCCAATCTCATCGGCATTCTTGATTCTTGTCGCTGCCATTCTCCTTATCTTCACCCGTCCCCAATCACCAAACCACTAACAACTCACACCGAGCCACATCTTAGGCGGCATTTTGCTCTTCTCCAACAGATGCAGCAGAGAAGACACCCAAGAGGAGAAAAGAAGAAAACCTAGGCCAATCCTAAGGGAAAGACGAAGACAAGCTCCGAAAGAAACCCCAGCACAGGCGGCTAGGAGAAAAAGGCAAATTGTAACGAGGGGTGATCAGAAGTTAACACCTTAAAAGTTGAATTCATGGGTTATTACCATAATCAAATTCTAAGGTCAAATATGTGGGGAGCAGTCGATAAAAGGGATTCCATTACTTCCTAAATATAGGTTGCTTTAACATATATTTTTCCAATCCTAAATATAAGACCTATTTTGTAGTGTAATTTATATTATAAAATATGTTTTATATTTAGAACGGAAGAGTAATTCATGAAATCCAAAAGAAATGGTTGAAATTGTTATTTGTGTAACATATATATACACACACAATTAAATAAATTAAAAATTGGGTTAAGATAATTTTTGTCTCCAAAGTATCAGAGAAAAAGTTGTGAGTATCCAAAAGCTTTTTTTATTCAATGTCACTCCGAAAGTATTAATAAAGAAGCAATATTTTTTAATATGTTAAAAAATTAACATTAACTAATAATATTTTTAATTAAAAAAGCAAAATTACTTTTTTTAAAAAATATTTCTAGGGTGACAGTGGGTCAAAAAAAGTTTAGATACCCATAACTCTTTTGAGAAAAACTTTTAGAACAAAAAGACCCTTAACCCTTATTTTTTAAAATTATTATTTTCAATATTAAATTGAGAGATAAAAATGCACAGATTTTTTATTCAAATTGTTTCAATTCCACAATATGAGACTATGAGAATATCAAGCACTGTTATTTAAGGTGCATCGCACACTTGGCACTTGTGCGTATCCTTATCTCTCCATACTTTTCTCGTCACAAATCAATTTCGGACCCCACCTTCTGGCTTTCATTTGAATCTCATACTGTTGGTCATATTATTGAAATTTTAATTAGTATATATGAATATTAATTATATTGGATGATCAACCCGAAACAAATAAAGGCATGGCAAGTAAAAATACCGTGCATGCATTAATTTTTTTTTACATATTATTATCAAATAATATACTCTTCCTATTCTTAATATAAGACTTATTTAACTAATTTGATTAGATTAAAAAAGTTAGATAAGTTAGTTAATTATAAGAAATATGACATGTTTTTTCTAAAATACTATAATCATTTTCCTTAATATCCTTCCTCCCTCTTCTACTTGTTTATGGTTGAGAGAATATCTATAAGGGTAATTTAGGAAAAACTGATAAATATGAGAAATATGTCTTATATTTAATTAGGACTAAAATCAACTCAATAATTATGTCCTATATACAAATAAAAGTTTTAAATAATTTTTTTATTGAATATATCAATATAGGTCTCAAATATGAATTTGGCTTTAATTATTGGAGAAAAAGCCAATGTTTGACAATAGGATAGAGATTGATGGTAATTAATGCGTGTCTTTCATGGCCGTTGGATGATGTTTAACCTTTTTTTTTTTAATTAGAAGGACAAACACTAAAAATTCAATATTTTGGGACCATGGGATATTTATTTACAATTTACGCGTGGGGCTCCGTAATTCAATAAGAACATAAAGTCCCATATTTGATTGGTCAATAATATTACATGCAACCTTCATTTATGAGGTATCTTTGAAAATTCTTATATTTTAATATGTGTGTGAGTGTTTAAATGTATCACGTATTTTTCAGAATTCTAAAGAAAATTAATATAAATTTACTTAAATATCCAATTGCATATCAAAATTTGTATATAAATATGAGAACGAGACCTCGAGTCGACTAGAACCTTACAAAAATAAAAACAAAAGAAGGCTTTCCATCAACACCTTCGTTCCCCTTCTCTTCAGCTGATCATCAACTGGCATGCATATGGTAACATTATTCCTCTCTCTCCCTCTATCACTGTCATATTCTATTGTTACTATTACTATCATTAGTGTATGCCTATATTTGGGGGTTCAATTCAGTTTTGATTCTTGACTACTTTTGCTCTCCATTTGTGAAATTGGCCTGGCTGCTGTCTGTTTTAATTTCCGGCCGCCTCATGCGGTGGCTTTAGTTGTTTCTCAGAAAGGAAGAGATTAATTATTGGTGTTCGCGGCCGCGACGCCGGCCATTATATATATAGCATGTACTATCATGACTCGCGCGTGAGTTTTGTATACATAATGTCTAACTACGTTGATTATTTTTAAATTATGTGTTCAGAGCAAAGAGGTTTTATACATTAGGAAAGCTGATATTTATCATTGAGTGTGGTTGGACTAATTTAGTACTGCCTCCAGTCCTAATTATAATACTCTTTATGTGCTTAATATAAGACCTATTTAACTAATTTGATTAAATTAAATAAGTTAGGTAAGTTAGTTAATTATAAGAAATATGACATATTTTTTCTAAAACACCATAATCATCTTTATTAATATCTTTACTCCCTCACTTACTTGATTATAGTGGAGGAAGTATCCATAGGGTTAATTTAGGAAAAATTAATAAATATGATAAATATGTCTTATATTTGGGATCAAAATTAACTTAACAATTAAATTTTATATTAAGGACCGGAGGAGTATCTTACCTGTACTCTATAAATAAGGTTTTATAATTAGGATTGGGGTAGTAATAATAAACTAACAACTCTCATCCTTAATTTGGATGGAAAAAATAGAGTTAAAAGAATATTATGAGAGAAAACTTCTTAAAATATAATTTTTTATAAAATGGTAAAAAAAAAGTAGGAAAAGAAAAAACAAGAAGAATGGTTATTAATTATATTATTATGTTGAATTGACTTATTACATCTGTACTGGGCAGGTGAGGAATTTATTATTCTCTTAGTAGGAAGAGTTGGGGAAAGAAAGAGATCAAATAATAAAATGATTATTACATCTGCACTGGGAGGGTGAGGAATTTATTATTCTCTTAGCTAGTAGGAAGAGTTGGGATAAGAAAGAGATCAAATAATAACATGACATCTTAATCATTTTTATATTTATTTATTTATTTTTCTCTTTGCTTCTCCCATCCATACAAACAGGAGTGATAATATTTTATCCCCCATTTTCTAACAGGGGTAAACCCTAAACCAACACTTACAGCAATCAATTCAACAACGCTCCTTAATTATGATACGTTAGACAATAATATCTTCTTTTTTTTCTCCGGCAGACAAGAATCAAAATACAAGTTTAATTATACATGCATCTCTTCTTTAATTTAATTTTTCCATAATTCCCTTTTGGAGGCATATTAATGCCACGAATTTTGGACGCAATAATAATACGCATGTATTAAATATTTCTTTTCATTTTTATATTATATTTATTACTATTTAAAAAATGCTTATTTCTTCTTCGTATAGCTTGTTTATTCTTTGATTTTGTGTGCGCAGGCAAAAGAAGGGAAGGAGACAAGAGTGATCCTGACGAAGCCATTATCAATAGAAGAAGAAGAAGAAGCAGAGCAAAATGATTATTCAGCTCCCAATCCTCTGCAACGCATCTTGAGCCTTTTCGCTCATGTACGCCCTGGATCTGATCTCTCTCGCTTTCAGGCATGCTAGCTACCTATCTCCCTCTTCCATTTTGCTTCATATATATGCAAGGAAAGTGATGCACACACACTTCCTCGTGTTCTTAATATAAAATTCACTTTGTACCGATAAAATATGAGTTAAGATTTACCTTATTATGTTAATATTTTAATAATATATTGATGCTCAATTTGACAGCATATATCACTCTATGGTACGTACAGGATTAAGTCCAGGCTTCGATAGAAACTCTCATGCACAATGGATCTTAGTTAAGGACCGAAAGTAGTATATATATAAATTACTCCCTCTGCTTTTTAATATAGGATTAAATTAATAGTTGAATTTGATTTTAAATATAATATTTTGATCAATCTTATTGTCTATTATATTTATCATTTTCTTACAAAACTAATTTACATAACTTATAAATTGATATATATATATAATCAAAAAAATATATTATACCATATTATTTAAAAAGATCATATGGCACTTATTATAATTAACTGATTTACTTGGTTTTCTTAATACTACCTCTAGTTCTGAATATTAGAGCCAGTAGAAAATTAAATTTTATTTTAAATATAAGACATCAATATATTTTGTCTCCCTTTATTTATCCAAACTGACCTATTGATTGCTTAATCCAAATGATTTGAGAAGATATTTTAGAAAAACTGATATATATTTTTTATAAATAACTAATTTAGTTATTTTTTTAATTTATTTAAATTAGTTAAGTAGATTTTATATTAAAGATAAAAGGTAGTATATCAGAACTAGTTAAATAATAACAATGAGGTGATGGTGCAGCTACCGGCAGCATTTAACTTGCCAAAGTCACAGCTTCAGTGCTACGGGGAATCAATTTACTGTACATCATTGAACTTACTGGGTAGTTGCAATGGTGGAGACAGCTCATTGGAAAGGTTTATAAATGTGGTGGCTTGGACTATATCTACCACCCGGCCCGCTCTGTTTGGAGTCGCCCCTTATAATCCTGTCCTTGGTGAGACCCACCATGTCTCTCGCTCCTCTCTTAATGTCTTACTTGAACAGGTACCTAAATCTGCCTCCCTTCTTATCTAATTCCTTCCTTTTCATAATATAGTAGTATGATTTTTAAGGTATCTGCAAATACAGATTAAGAGATACTATTTCTGGCTTTTAATATAAAAAAATTAGTTGACTAATTTAAGTAAATTAAAAAAACTACTCATCTGGTCCTTAATATAAGATCCATTTAACTAATTTAATTAGATTAAGAAAGTTAGGTAAGTTAGTTAATTATAAGAAAAGTGATATATTTTTCCTAAAACACTATAATAATCTTTCTTAATATCCCCTCTTCCTCTTCTACTTGATTATGGTTAAGGGAGTATTTATAGGGGTAATTTAGAAAAATTGATAAATATAAGAAATGTCTGATATTTAGGACCAAAACCAACACAAGAATTGGATCCTATATTAAGGATTGGAGGAGTAGTTAAATTAGTTATTTATAATAAATATGTGTTGTTTTTCTTAAACTGTCATTGCTAATCAAGTGTATTGGTTAGAACTACGATTATTACAATGACTATCTTAGAAATAAATAAATAAATACGAGATGCAAAGTGGATTGGAGTCTTATATTTAGAATCCAAATAAAAATCAAATAAATTCTTATATTAAGAATCGGAGGTAGTATAATTAATACACGATGAAGAAGGATATATTAACCACATCATTGAGATTGCTCTCAAATTAAAGTTTAATAAATATTGCTTTGAACTTGTTTTTTTGGGGGTAAACATAAGTATGAATATAAAGTAATATTGATAAATATTGCTTTGAATTCTAATAAGATACATAAAAATGATAAATTATTGATTTGATTTTTGATAGAAGATAACGACATCGTGATATTCATACAATTGACCCCATCTATAATTTAGTGAGTCTGACTGGATTAATTTTCACTCTTTTTTTTTTCATGCACTTATTAACTCTTTTCATTGGATGTATTTGGATAATAAATTATATTTTTATCTATTTATTATTTTAAATAAATATAACCAACTTTTTAACCTACATAATTTTTTTCTGAGCAAAACTTTAATCTACATAATTTAATTATTTGTATTTTATAGGACGAGATTAATTGCTTCTTCTTCTTTTTTTTCGCCGTCCCATTCTTTTTATTTCACTCAACTGTCCAATCCATTACTGCATGAATTAAATTGGGCTATTAATGCGAGCCAAGGTAGGACCATCAAGTTGGTTTGCGTTAGTAATGCTTCATCTGACCCCCTTGACCACCATACCTGCTACCGACTTTTATATTTGTTCCCCGTTTAGCTTAATCGCAGGCGCACACAAGTAGTATAAAAAGTACTCCTCCGGTCCTTAATATAGGACTCAATTTTTGAGTTGGTTTTGGTCATAAATATAAGACCCATTTCTCATATTTAACAATTTTCTCTAAATTACCCCTATAGATACTCCTTCAACCATAATCAAATAGAAGAGGAAGATGAGGTATTAAGAAAGATGATTATGGTGTTTTAGGAAAAATATGTCACTTTTCTTATAATTAACTAACTTACCTAACTTCCTTAATCTAATCAAATTAGTTAAATGGGTCTTATATTAAGGACCGGAGGAGTATTATTTTCTTGGAGACCAAGACCGGACATGTTGAAAATCACATTTGTCTTTATCATTAGGTTAAGTGAAAATATTTGAAAAGTGTATTGCTTATAAGAAAAAGTGATTAGAAGTCAAACAACTTCAATTTAAATAGAAACTAGATTGTAAACTTGATTTCAAGATGTGCAGAACCTAGGGTTAATTCTCCCCCAATTTACTTCAAAAGGCTTAATTAGCTCCTCTCAACTAGTTTCTTAATGTAAACAATGTGTTTGTGTAAGGTTCACAAATGTTTGACTAAGTTGTCTTAAGTCAAAATTAATTTTTTTCCTTATAAAAATGCTCAATCTCTTGAAACACTCAATGAAAAGTCATTTAAAACCCAACCTTAATTTGACAATGCTAGGTTAGTTATTATATCTCCATGTAACCAACAAGCCATCCATTCAAACCACAAATTTCAAGTATAGCACAACTTTATCCAAGTTTTTGTCAAAATAAGCTTTCTCAAGACAAATTTAGATAAAACAAACTTCCTGAATGGTGGCTAAATATTCAGAGCAAGAAGCACAAGATAAAATTAACATATATATATAACATTAATAGCTAAAAGGAAGGAAAAATCAGGTCTCAATCCATACAATAGTTTGAAATAACTGTAGAGAATAGAATTTAGCCACTCATAATCTTGAACAAAACAGAAATACAGCAATGAACTCAGTCCATATCATATTACAAGTGAAAATGAAAAGAAAAAAGAGAGAAAACCAAGTTTAGAGTCCAAAATCTCTTCAAAACATCAAACCCTAGGTTCAAAACTTCAAACTCCTGTTTTCGAAGCCTCTCATCTCTGTTCCAGCCCTTCAAGAATTAAGAATGATGGCCCCCTTCGTGTTTTTCCTTTATATCCAACTCTATTTTTGCATCAGTAATCAAAACACATAGCAACAGTTTTTACTTGTCTACTATAGCGAATGTGCGCATTCGCTATAGCGTACAACAAGGAGAATACATTCTGAAATTGCATAGCTTTGGCTATAGTAAGTGACATCTTTTGCTATAGCGAAGGATACAATAGACATCTTTCCTTCTTTGCTTCTTCAGATTCTGTTCTAGTTGCTTCCAACTTTCTTCTTTCTATTTTCTCAAAGCTGCTAACCACAACTTTGGAACTACAATCACGAGTTAAAAGTGGTGAAATTCTCAATAATTTGCTACTTTTCTCCATGCACCATTTTCTCGGCAAAGTCTACATTAGGCACAAGTTAGTCCTAAAAAAATAGGCAAATGCAATCGAAAGAATGTTGAAGTGGCATGAATTTCCGAGAGTTAACAATGGTACTTAGATATTTATTAAATTAATACATTTACTTTTATCTAAATGTACTCCATAAACAAAAGAGGCTCCACAAAGGATCCAAATCCTATGCTATTCTTTTAACAGATTTATCAACACTACCAGTCAGTTTTCAAATTTTATACACTACAAAAAGACAGCATTAATTAGTATTTTGAGAATGGAAGATTAATCATTAATTCCACAACAAGTGAGCAGCTTTTAATATTCCCTTCAACCCTATTTATAAGCTTTAAATTTGAGAAGGAGTGTGGTTCTTTTTATAAGTTTCAATTTGAGTTTGCCCTAACATTCAATGCATTATTTTTCAATTTTATTCTTAATTATCTATTCTCTCTCCTTTGCCATAATCTCTATTGTTATATTTCTCCACAAATTTTCTTTTATCATTTTTTTCATTTACTTTAAGGACATATTTAGAAATAAAGATTTATTTTTAACCCATTTATTGCTTTTGTCTAATTTTAATTAATCATTCATAATTTGTAAATTAATTATTTGAAGCTTATAATAAGGACCAGAGGAAATAATAAGTTTTGATGTAAGAAATGACAACACATCCTTATTGGGATTTTTTTGGTGATTGTATTTTTTCCTATGAGACCTTAGCATTTTCCCTATATTTAACCCCTTTCTCACTCTCTCTATTTTTTTTTCTTTCTTTTTTTTTTCCTCCAAATTTTAAGGTATCACATCACCCTCCAGTATCAGCGCTCCACGCAACTGACGAGAAGGAAAACATAAAAATTATATGGTGCAACCGACCTCTCCCAAAGTTCCATGGTATATATAATCTTCTTTCTCTTCTCAATAACCTCTTATACTAACTAACTGTATTATGGTGGGGTTTACACACACAAACAAGCCCTCAAGTTCATTCAAACTTTATGAATATAAGCAATCACATCAAAATATTTTCTTCTACGTTAAGACCAATAAACTAAGGCTTTATTCCGGCTGGAAGGAAAACGGTGAGAGAGAATAAACCGGGGGTAAAATTAAACCAGACGTAATAGCTTGAATAATGCGATTGTTGACCATATTTATATTATGATTTTTATGAATTTATGTAAACAAAAAACACAGGTACTTCAGTGGAGATTCAAGTGCTAGGTGAACGGACGTTGAAATTGATGAACCATGGAGAAACATACGAGATGAATTGCCCTAATTTGATATTCAGATTTGTTCCTATTCCTGAGGTTGATTGGGTTGGCAAAGTTCGTATAAGGTGCAAAGAGACTGGTTTGTTGGCTGATTTATGTTACAAAGGTCGATCTTTTCTAGGTTTTAAGGGAAGCCGCAGATCTATCAAAGGAAAGATTCTTGACTCATCCTCTTCTTCCAGTGTTCTATATGATGTTGATGGTCACTGGGACAGGTAACTTTCTTATAATTTTCCTCGAACAATCTATTGTTTTTGTTTAAGAACTTCTTAAAATTAATGTACGTACAATGGATCTTTTGTAAATTGATACAATCAAAATTGATGCTTGGGTTAGCTTTCAGACATTTATAAAGCTAATTAAATATCTTCTGCTAATCTTTTTTTCATAAGACCTGCATGCTAACTACTTTCATGAGAAGATTAATATAATTTAGTTAAAATTAGTTAAATGAATTTTAAAAAAAAAATTTCAAAATTACCCTTAGCTTTGATTAGTACTACCTCTGACCCTTAACATAAGAACAGTTTGATATTCAATTTGGTCTTAAATATAAGATTTTAATCCACCTTTATCTCTTATATTTATCTATTTTTTAAGATAGTTCTTGTAGTAGTTATACATGTTAAGGCAACACATATGTATTACAAATAACAAACTTAATTAATTTTTATAATTTATTCAAATTAGTCAATTAGTTTTTTTATTAAAAACCAAAGGTAGTATAATTCATTCAGAGGAGAGTGGGGGAAGAGACAAGTATTGGCATTTCTGAAATGATTCACAAATATTTCATTAAATTTTGTAAAGAATTTTGTATATATTAAGGACCATGTAATGTAAGGCCTTATAATATAAATAGGAATATAATGGAGAAGCATATCGACGATATCCAACCTTTTTTTTTGTGAACATATCTATATCTAACATTATAATGACCATGAATTCCTTAATATAATATTGTAGGTCTGTTGCAATTAAGGATAAAAACAACGGGAGTGTTAGGGTGATATATGATGCCAAACAAGTTATTTCAGGTCTCCAAACTCCTACCCTAAAGACTTTAGAGGTAATTAAAATTTATCTTATATATTTGTTTGTATTTTGCCAACTAGTATTCTCATATATATATATATATATAGACGTACATAAGCATTAATGTTCATTACGGTAAGAGGTTGTTTTGTTGTGTATCATATATCAGAATGTGTGGGCAACAGAAGCAGCGAGTGTTTGGAGTGACGTTAGTGAAGCCCTAATGAGGAAAGAGTGGGACAAAGCAAGTGAAGCAAAGAGATGCATTGAAAATGCAGAGAGAAAGCTATTGAGAGAAAGGGAATCAAGTGGCCAAATTTGGACGCCGAAACACTTCACTGTGTCGAGAACTGAACAAGGTACTTGGGACTGCCGTCCTCTTCATCAGTGGGTCCCTTCTGCCCCTATTATTGCTTCACAAGACAATTGATTCAGAATTTGGTACTACTTCCGATGTTTCATATAAGAGCTAGTGGACTGATTTGAGTAAATTAAAAACATTAGTTATTTGTAATAAATAGACATTGTCTTTCTTAAAATATCATTGCCAATCAAGTGTATTGGCTAGATCTATCATTATTACAAAGATTACTTTACAAAAAATAGATAAATATGAGAGACAAAATAGATTGTGGTCTTATATTTATAACCAAAATAAAAGTCAAATAAGCTATTATATTAAGGATCAGAGATAGTACTCCTCTGATCCTTAATACAAGACCTATTTATCTAATTTGATTAGATTAAAAAAGTTAGGTAAATTAGTTAATTATAAGAAATATGCACTACAACAAAATGTGTTATTTACCTCCCTCGTTTATGTCTGTTTTGCAAAACAGAAGAGACTTCATGTTTGTTTTAAACAAAACGGACGTGAATTCACGTCTGTTCCTTAGAAACAAACGTGAATTCACGTCTGTTTCTAAGTAAACAGACGTGAAGGGGCTTCATTTTTAAAAATAATTTGCCCGCAGCGCAGCTCGCATAAGTTATCTGCTATCAGATCTGCATGTACCGCGCGCGATCGAAGAACTCCAGCTCGCAGCTATCTCGCACCCAACTTTCATTTTCGGTCTCTCCCTCTCATTTTCCTCTTGTCCGTGAAGTAGCCGTGAGCTATTTCAACTTGTTTCAGTCTCTCCTTCTGGTTTCAGCTCTTCAAGGCCGTAGCCGGACTCCCTCCATTGCGTCGCGCATTCTGCAGTAGCGGTGTTGTACCAGCTCGCCGTTGAAGCCGTGAAGCTCACACGCACAGCAGCTCACCGTCGTCGTCCTCTCTGTAGGCCGTTGATTCGAAGGCACGCCAGAACGGTGAAGGTAAGTTCATTCAACCGTTGCATTGTGGGTTTAGTGTGTTGTACGGTGGGTTTGAGTAGCTTGAGGAGTTTTGAATTGGTTTCTGAGGTTGCTGTTTAAATTTTTACTGAAGAATTGTGTTTAGATAGTTTTAAATTTGTATATATTGATTGGGTAGAAATTTTAATGATTTCAAGCCTTGTTAATCTTGTTAGAAAAATAATGCATACAAGGTGTTTGTCAAAATGCCTAAGAGGGATTGCATTAGATAGTTTGCTATATGTGTTGAATTTAGATTAAGGATTGGGTATACATTAAATGATTAATGAAAAAATTGCATTTAGATAAGTTAAAATTTGTTTACATTGATTGGGTAATAGATTTGAAGTTTGAAATCATTTGCTTGGAATTGGCATGATTTATGTTGTAATTGGAATGAATTGGATTCAATTGATATCATTAGTTTTGAATTTGGTTAATGTTTATTGGGACTGTGCTGAATGGAATTAAATTGTTTATAATTCCTTAGGTAGTAACAGAATGGATCATAGTTGGATGAATGCTTTGAGAACAAGTGATGAATATGAGAATGGAGTAGAACGATTTATTGAATTTGCTAAACAGAATGCTTCTAACAATAACGAAATGTATTTTTGTCCCTGTGTCAAGTGTTTAAATGAGAGGCGACTAAGTGTTGATGATATTAGAGATCACCTGCTTTGTGATGGTATAAATCTTCGATATACAAGATGGATATGGCATGGTGAAGTAGGAACAAGTTCAATACTCGAAGAAGAGGAAGATATGGATGATGTAAATGATAGAATGAGCGATATGATTCGTGATGTAGGGGTAGAGTTCTTTGTGCAATCACATGCAAATGATAACTTGAAGAGTGATACAGAGATGCCTTTGTACCCTGGGTGTTCTAAGTATACAAGATTGACAGCTGTATTGAAATTGTTTAGTTTAAAAGCAAATAATGGGTGGACTGACAAAAGTTTCACAGAGTTACTTCAATTGATTAGTGATATGCTTCCAATTGATAACGTTCTTCCAAATCGTGTGTATGAAGCAAAGAAAATCTTGTCTCGGATGGGTATGGGCTATGAAAAGATACACGCTTGTCCTAATAACTGTGTATTATATAGAAAAGAGTATACTAGTCTACGTGAGTGCCCAAAATGTAAAACTTCACGATACAAGGTGAAAAAGAACATGGACTGTGCTGGTAACTATGATGGTGATGAGACAAGTAAAGGGCAACCTTTGAAGGTGTTATGGTATCTTCCGATAATACCACAATTTAAGCGCTTATTTGCTAATGCAACAGAAGCGAAGAAGTTAAGATGGCATTTTGATGAGAGAATATCAGATGGAAGATATCTTCGGCACCCTGCTGATTCTCCTCAATGGCAGAAAATAGATGAAATGTTTCCGGAATTTGGTCTTGAACCAAGAAATCTTCGCCTTGGGCTTTGTACAGATGGAATCAACCCTTATAGTACTCTTAATAGCACACATAGTGCATGGCCAGTACTGTTGGTGATTTACAACCTACCTCCCTGGTTATGTATGAAGCGCAAGTACATGATGCTTTCTATGATGATTTCAGGACCGAAACAACCAGGAAACAATATCGATATCTACTTGGCACCTTTAATTGAAGATTTGAAGATGTTGTGGGAAGAAGGCGTGGATGTGTTTGATGCATACAAGCAGGAGTCCTTTAAGTTGCGTGCCATGATCTTTACAACGATAAATGACTTTCCTGCATATGGAAATCTATCAGGATACAGTGTGAAGGGGCATAAAGCATGTCCTATATGTGAAGCAGACACATACTTCCACCAACTTAAGCACGGAAGGAAACAGTTTACCTCGGTCACAGGAGGTTTCTTGATCGGTTCCACCCATACCGGAGATTGAAAAAGGTTTTTAATGGCTCACCAGAGCATGGCATGGCTCTGAAGGCATTAACTGGAGAGGAAGTTTACCAGCGAGTTGAAAGAATCAATGTCATTTTTGGTAAGACTCAAAAAGCTGCAAGTGAGAAAAACATATGGAAGAAGAGGTCTATTTTCTTTGATCTTCCATATTGGCGCAGTCTTGATGTAAGACACAGTATCGATGTGATGCATGTGGAAAAAAATGTGTGTGATAGTCTTATCGGTACTCTTTTGCACATACCTGGAAAAACTAAAGACGGAATTAATGCAAGACTTGATCTGGCTGAAATGGGCATTCGAGAGCGCTTACATCCACAATTGAGAGAGGGTGGTAAGCGGGCTTATATGGAACCTGCGGCCCACACATTGTCTAAAGTCGAAAAAACAAGCTTGTGTCGGTGTTTGCATGACATCAAGGTGCCCCAGGGGTATTCTTCTAATGTGAAAAGGCTTGTCTCAATGCACGATTTGAAGTTAGTGGGAATGAAGTCTCACGATTATCATGTACTGATGCAACAACTATTACCCGTAGCTATTCGAGGCACAATGAGAGATGATGTGAGGAGCACTATAACTAGATTATGTATCTTCTTCAATGTTATTTGTAGCAAAGTCATTGACATAGAGAAATTGGATGAATTGGAAAATGAGGGTTATGTTATCTTGTCTCAACTAAAAATGCACTTTCCCCCAGCATTTTTTGACATCATGGTGCATTTGATCATTCATTTAGTGAGGGAGATAAGGCTTTGCGGTCCTATTTTTCTAAGATGGATGTATCCATTTGAGAGGTACATGAAAGTCTTAAAAAATTATTCTAAAAATCCTTATCGACCTGAAGCATCAATTGTTGAAAGGTATGTAGCGGAAGAGGCTATGGAATTTTGCAAAACATATCTATCTATAGCTAAGACACCATCTCGGCATGAAAACGGTACAAGTAAAGGAATCAGGGGGTTGAAGGTAAAGAGTATGGGTCGTGAAGAAGTGTTACAAGCGCACTTATACATATTGAATAATATGGAAGAAGTGCAGTCGTATTTAGATGATCACAAAAAAAGTTTAAAAGAGAAGTATCCAAAGAAAAGTGATATGCAGATAGCAAATGAGCATAACAAAATATTTATAACATGGTTCAGTGAAAAGTTTTGAGAGAGGCCAATGTATCTGATACAATAAAATGGTTAGCTTGGGGTCCTTGTTTTGAAGTTATCACTTGGAGTGGATATGACATAAATGGATATTCCTTCTACACAAAAGCTCAAGATGACAAAAGTACTGTGCAGAATAGTGGGGTAATGGTGGTTGCTGAAGCGATGCATTTTTTGAGTTCGAAAGATAAAAACCCCAAATTGGCATCTATGGCTTATTATGGAGTTATTGAAGAGATATGGGAGGTAAATTACACCAATTTCAAGATTCATGTCTTCAAATGTAAATGGGTCAACAACAACAGTATTGAAATAGATCAATAATTTGGATTTACATTAGTTGATCTTGGCAGGGTTGGTTATGCAGATGAGCCCTTCATTTTAGCAAGCCAGACAAAACAAGTATTTTATGTTACTGATCCAGCAAATAAAAAATTGTCTATTGTCCTTCAAAGTAAAAAGCAGAAGGACAGTGATCCTACCATGAATCTTGATGAGACACCACCTTTTGCTTCAAATCCGCCTAGACCAAGTGAAGTAGAATTGGTAGATAATGATGAATATGCTGCAAGAGATGATCATTGTGAAGGGATATGGGATAATGCATAAAGTCAGATTAAGTAATGTAATTTTGCAACGTACCTTGTGTTATTTTCTTTCATTTATTTCATAGCAATGTACTTGATATTATTTATATATTAATACATTCACTATAATTTACTTATTTATCTAATTTTGGTTTTTCAACAGGCACATGGAGGAGGATTTTGATGCCAATATGGAGGAGGTTGTGAGAGAGATATGGAGGAGATTATGACATCGATGATGTCAATCAGCAGGAAGGAAGGAAGGTTAGAGGTAGTACAAGGCTACCAAAGTTAGCAGTACGTCATGGTCGTATTCAGAAGAGGCATGTGGATTTTGATGCCAATATGAATCCAATTGGTGAAGAGAAGGACAGATCATGCTATATAGGCTAGGCTCCGTTGCCCGAAGCAAAGTTAATATTCTATGGCCTAATTGGAAGTCAATTCTAAGGAGACGAGGGATAGGATTTGGGAATATATTTTGGTATGTCACTTTCTAATTTATTTCATTTGTT